CGCAATGGTGTAGTGGTTATCACGCCTGCTTTACACGCAGTTGGTCCTCGGTTCGATCCCGAGTTGTGACATATTTTTACTTGATGTAAGTAAATTATGTATGGAACGAAATTAAAGTTTTTTTGCTCTGGTTGGGTAGAAATTAAAACGTTGACTGCTCTGTACTACTAGCTAAGACGTCAATACAATTAAAAATAATAAATTATATAAAACAAATCAGAGAAGCATGACACTCTTTGTTGTGTTTAGCTTTTTCCTAATATATTTAAAAATATATATTGGGCAAATAAAAGCACTGGCATAAGTATTGCAACATATATTTAACTTGTTGTTTGTATTTCAAAACTTGTCTAACACAATTAGTAAACAGTGGTAACATTTCATCCACTGGAGTATGGAAACTGTATCCACAGAGTCATTTGCTATTTGATCTGTTGTCCCCCAGTTTAGGACAGGCACCCAGATCCCTGTTGGACTTGGAAAAAAATACCATTGGGTACATAAGGACTTATGGTGCAGCATTTTAAGTTCTGATTCTTCACCAAATAGACTGTGTGTCTGATGGATGTTATAATAAAAAACCCGAGGGATACAACGGTCAGACTTGGACCATTGTTCCATATAAGTAGAAACTAAACCTACTGATCTAGATGATAAATCCTGTCACGTGAGGATCATGTCCCACATGACAAACCATAATATAACACTGCATTCCATCCTAGTTTTTTCATAAACTGTTTTAAGCCTTATCAAAATTTTCTCCAAGTTTTGGTTTCATCCAACATTCCAATGGTAACTTTTGCTGAGTAAGAGGGTGTTTTCTTAAAAGAGAGTTCTCTTAGGGATAACTAGAGCATAGAGATCTAAGCATGCACTGTTCTTGCATTCATTCCCATATATTACACTGCTTTTGAAAAAGTTGTGAAAGTATTCTTTGCTACAGCTATAATCTCAAAAGAATACCTTACTACAAATAGGATCTAAAAAGTATACATCACAAGAGCAATAATCTTTAAAAGAATACACCATTCTGGGATGTTTCTGGGATGTATTCTTTTGCTACAGCTAAAATATCAAAAGAATACATTGCTACAACTATAATTTCAGAGGTATTCTTTTTGTAGCAAATATTTTAAAATTATAAACAGTTCAGGGATATATCCTGGATGTATTCTTTGCTATAATATCATATCTCGAAAGTATACATTGCTAGAACAGTTATCTCAAAAGAATACACAGTTCTGGGATATATCCTGGATATACTTTTTGCTAAAGATAAAATCTCGAAGGTTTTCTTTGTTATAGCTATAATTTTAAAAGAATACACAGTTTGAGGATATATCCTGAATGTATTCTTTGCCACAGATAAAATATTGAAAGTATACTTTGCCTCAGCCAATATCTTATGAGTATACATTGCTAGAGCAATTGTCTCAAAGGAATACACTGTTCTGGGATGTATACTGGATGTATTTTTTTCTACTGTGAAAAATATTATAAAATTTCTTTTGCTATCTCTATAATCTCAAAAGTATACATTTCTACGACTATAATCTCGGAAGTATTCTTTGTTGTAGCCAAAATATCAAAAGTATACACAGTTCTGGGATATATCATGGATGTATTCTTTGCTAAAATAAAAAAATCTCAAAGGTATACATTGCTAGAACAATTACCTCAAAAGAATACAATGTGTGAACAATTATCTCAAAAGAATACATTGCTACAGATTAAATCTCGAAAGTATCCATTGCTAGGTCACTTATCTCAAAAGAATACAAAGCTAGAGCTATTATCTCAAAAGAATACATTGCTAAACCTTTATCCTGAAAGTATACATTGCTAGTAAAAATTATATTAAAAGAATACACAGTTCTGGGATATATCCTAGATGTATTCTTTGCTATAGTATTTAACCTGGTAGGTATACAATGCTAGAGCTATTATCTCGAATGTATTCTTTGCTAATATATAATATCTCACAAGAATTCACAGTTCAGGGATATATCCTGGATGGCTTCTTTTGCTAATATATAATATCTCGAAAGTATACATTACTACAGCTAAATTCTTGAAAGTATACATTGCTATAGCTAAAATCTCGAAAGTATACATTGGTACACCAATTATCTCAAAAAATACATTGCTAGGGCAATTATCTAAATGGAATACAATGCTACAGCTTTAATACCAAAAGTGTTGATTTTGTGAAACAGATTAACCACCAAGATCGGATTAGCATTTCTCTTTCTCTTATCTGGAGCAACTGTTGG